GGGGGTGTTTCATGACCCTTTAAATATGCATTTTTGTTATTAAAACTGCTTTTGTTTTGTAAGTGCATTAAAGCTGTAATGGGAAGTTTTTTGCAAATCAGCTCAAATTTATTTTCAAGATGCAGTAATCTCAGTTTATATAGAACGACATAAAATCAAATTTGCTGAAGGCAAAACTACACTCTGGTGTTTATCAAATTTGTATTTATCAAAATTGGTGTGAGCATCTACAATGTCCGACTTAAATCTGAGACGGTCTGCCACTGGCATGTGATGTACACACATGCATAAAATGACAGAATTAGCCTGCATGCTCTGTAGTGGAATATCACAGATGTTTTCCAGCCCCTCTCATCTAACTCACCCTCCCTCTCTGTGTCCTGTTTTTTCAGGACTTATCGCCAACCACTACTCACAATTTATTGGCGCCTTTCTTTCCCTCAGAATTAATGACAGAGCAATTATGAAGAGGGCCGTTTAAAAGCCTGATGGGAGATGCAGTCTGTAAATGTCTCCAGTCAGACAGAGTGCAGAACAAAGACGACAGACAGGAAGGGAGACGGAGAGAAAGACAAGCAGAGATGTGCTCTTATGTTTCACGTTTTAATTTCCCACCACTTCTGCTAGAAACAAAATCTTTCAAAGAACTTCAAATTACATTAATTGTTTCTTATCAAGTTGTGATTAGAAAAATATTTTTAAATCAACTATAATTCTTTATACAGTAACAATGTACAGCAAGTAAGGCCATTTTTGTTTGTGCACAATAATCTTAAAAATTATAAGGCTTTTATAGTGTGGCTGCTTTTCATACAAACTCTTCATTCTCACCTTTTCAAACATTTTCAGATTTGGCTGTGCAAATGGTTCTTTTAGTAAGTCTTTTATATGCTGTAAAACTGTTGGGAACATTTCCACACCTGGAAATGTGAAGACGGTGCGATCTGCCGAGGCCAAGAAGGAGAAGCTCTCGTGCTCTGTGATAAAGCAGCACAGTAATGATACTGTATGAAAGAGCAGAAGATGAGGCCTGAATACCTCAATTACCCAGAGACAGAGATGAGCTTAAACAGAAGCCCACCGGAACAGTGCACACAACAATGACCTGAGATCAGGTGAGGGGAGGTTAAAATACAAATGTAAATGTCCAGTGGGAATGAAAATTTATCAAATATACATAGTCTGAACTGTCAAATGTCTCTTAATTTGTTATTAGACAATGTAAGCATTTTCTCTTTAAAGGGGTCATAGGATGCTACATGCACTTTTACAAGTTGTTTGAACTGAAATGTGTGTTGGCAGTGTGTGTACACAACCACCCTATAATGATAAAAATCCACA